CCAGCTTCGTGCGGTATTAAATAATGCGGATTTGTTCTACTTTTCGCTTTTTGGCTCCGGTTCTTTTACGAATTCAACGGGTATGAGGTATTTTTCATTTCAGTCAGAGTCCGAGATTACTTTTTTTTAAGTATTTTCTTTGTTAGTACGGATCATGTTATTTTCAGAGTAGACTAAAAAATATGTGATTAATATGCATGGTTTATTTGTACTTCGAAACATTTGTGCCACATTATTAGCATAGAAAGTGTCAGCAAAACATTAGTAAGTTTGTAGGCATCATAAATATGAGGGCATAGAGACAGGCCATTGACTAAACGAGTCTCACAGGAGCTGTTTAGAGGCGATAATAACGTGTAATGAATGTAAACGGTGGTACCCCTTTACCAACGCCGGCGGAACGGAAAACTGTTATCGGGCGGCCACACGCGCGGGGACGCTCATCGAAATAAGGGCTCCATAAATCTAGACGTGCAGCATATTCGTCGTGTAATAGGTGTGTGTATTTTATGTGCGATAATAGTGTACAGGGGCGTTCACACAGAATTAAGCGTTGAAATGAAAAACGCAAAAAATATTTTATTTCAGTAACAAAGATATGACGAAGTTTTAAACACTTCCAAAGCTTAAGTTTATCCTTTCAATTCAGAAATCTGTAATACTAAACTAGAGCCTTAAGTCATCACACAGAGCCTTATGTTGTTCCTACCAGAACATAATCCGAAATCTGTTCCCAAACATTCAGTGTGTTAGACAGACAGCTATGTGTATAACCGGGTATGTTGGCAACATCAGACGGATACGGTTAGCTTTATGACGGGCGCGACGTCACATAATCGAGCCAGACCTACCGTGCACAGATAACGCGATTGTGTGTAATAAACGGAATGCAATCGGAATCCTATTAGACATATGGCCCCATCGATACTGATACATGACGTTAATAGGTTTCACGTTTGATTGTGTTAACATGTGCCGTCGATACGGACAACTTGATTGGTTGCAAATTGTCCCGTGGAATAGGAATTTTGGAATGATTATTATGTTGCTGGGTTGGTATCATTGTTGGAAATGTTGTTGGTCGTAATTCAAGTAGTCTTAGAATTAATGCGAATTCAATTTTATTACAAATATTGATTAGGTAACTATAACGTTTTACCAAGTTTTTTTGTTCATAAAAATACAAGTATATATTTATTTGTTATGAAGCACAGTATACTTTATACTTAGTCAATGTTATCTAAGACTCAAAAACGAAAAAAAAAAACACTGAATTGTTTCATAGTAATCAACAATTTTTGTTTGTTTTTCTATAGGAGTAATATCAGCAGGCGTGAGCGTGCCTGTGCAAATCCCATCACAAGGGCCGGACCTCGCATCGAATTATTGGGGACGGCTTCAGTGATCTCAGCTATTCGGGTTCCCGCATCGGCTACTGTCGATGCCTGAGAACCCGACCAACATACCAGAGTCCCCATCTAGCGGCGAGATCGCGCACAACTACGCCGACGCGCACTTGTCTATGAACGCAGCCATCAACATGACGGCCGGACACGACGCCAATGTTTTGGCGGCAGATATACAAGAACAAAACAATTCAGTGTCGTAAGTGTACACAAGACTGTTTAATATACCCCGTTCGTTTCACAATCCAGTTATTTAAATTTTAGTGAGATTTCAGTTCTAAATTTAATTTATGTATGTACAATCGTTTTCGGACTACACTTTAATGTTAAGAGGCAACTGATGATGTTCAAAATTAATCGTAAGCAAACGACCGTACACGATGATGTGTGCTGCGCACTTCCGAACAATCACAATATTGTACTTATAATTTAATTTATAGTTTGCTTAAACATAATACATACATGTATAGTAAAGACAGATATTTAGGCATGTTTCATTGCGTACGGTCAATAAATAAAATAGTAAGCTAGTAACAATAGCGTGCAATTGTAAATATAGAACAGCGCCATCTATTGTCGAGTAGAGAAAGTTTCTTTAATGGCAGTCGAGAAGTTCTCGGCAGAAAATAAATGTAAATTGTTTGTGCCAACGTTTGTAATAATCGAGTGTTATGCGCCCTTTGCGTGCACAACCCTTTCTATTTCTTTGATGTATGCAATAGGGGTGCGAAATGTTAATGCTATAGAGAAAAAAAACGTGGCAATGAGCTTCGTTACGGCGTTTGTTTCACACCCCTGCCTTCACGAACAAATTGTCATACAAACTAATCATGTTTGTACTATTGTGATGACTCTTGTATAATATTGTTACTAAATAGATGTTGTACGTAATGTGTCAACTCGAGTTCATTAGCACACCTTGAAACGAATTAATTTATTATTTATTGGTAAAATTAAGATAAATATCGCTGTGATTAAAATATTATTAAGATTTATAAGATTATTTTACCGTCATCACTGTGGTAAATTTAAACGAACTACTTTAAAATTACAGCAATGATATACAAACTGTAATATGTATACTGAAGTCAAATATATCTCTCATTTCTTTTCTCAATGGTGCTGAAAAGCAGCACAAACTATCATTTAAATAAATACTACTTGATAAATATGTACATTTATAATATATATTTTCATTAAAAATGCAATATGGACGTGGATAGGCGTTATGTATCTAATGTAATTTAGTTTCGAAGTAAGTGTAAAATAAATTATTACTTGGTATAAGTGCATATAGATTGAGGAGGTTACAGTGAAAATTTATTAATAAATATTGCATTAACCATTATTATATTGTTTTCTTTGGACCCTAATACCGTTTGGGATGACGAATGGGACGTTTCGAGTATATCTAATTGTACAACAATGGGCTAATAAAGACGCATAAGTATAATATTAATATTTTTGTTGGAATTGCAACCTTATTGCTTGGGGATCGTATGAAAAAATTGTTCATATTTTCTGCAGTTGGACTTTCGACCTTATTGCTTAAGGACTACCCTATGCATTGCGTGCTAAGAAATTATTCCGTTAAGTATATTTGGGCGGTGTATATTAATTTTGTGTTGGTTAACTTTGTATGGCACCCCAGTACCCCGAGCATTGAAGGGGAGGTCCAACAATGGGATGGGATTAAACGTGTTGTATCGAAGGTATTATAGTGATCTAAATGAAGAGGGAACTTAATACAGTGCGTTGGTAAAATGTTTTAAATTGTTGTGGCGTCATCTGCATCGGTAGGTATAGAAATGGTCATCTAGGATTTGGGATCTATGCTATAGAGGTAGTATTAGACAACAGTTTTGGAATGTAAGGTAAGCTTTACTTTGCTATGGTTCATATAAATATTTGCTCTTATTTTCATAGTCCAATCAAAATAGCATCTTACAGCTAGAATCCACGATTAACAGATTTTAAAAATAAAAAAGGTAAGTTTTATTAATGCTATGTTCAAAGAACATCACGAATTTTTAGATATCCTTTTATATCGTGCCTTCTCTGTCATTTTACATAGAATTTGTATGTAAAATTGAGAAGCGTTTCAGTATTCGTGCATCAGTCACTCAATCACATTTATGATCAGTTAAATTGAAAACAGAAAAGGATATCTATTTTGACTGATCTATCATTTAATTCTGCCTTCAACATTATTTTTATATAAAACTCATTTAAACGACACACATCACCAATACGGTAGTTTCCTAAATATTATTTTAATGTTCGTCTGGTACATTAATTTGAAACTTTAGACACGTATTTTTTCTTTTCTCACAAAATTAAATACTTTCTACGATATATTAATTTGAAATATCGCGTGACGTCACAGCGTGCCACATTTTGTAGCACGTTATGACGTAACAACCTCCCACTCCTAAACTTAGCGCCATTTTATTTAAGTATTGCAACTTAATGCGAGAAAATAAAAAAATACGTAACTAATATTTTTTCATCATCTAACTGACGGACTAATTACATTTTTAATTTTGATACCCTGGAAACTATCCAATTACCAACACACAAGAAATATCAAAACAGTTCACTCTTGGCTCCATCACAAGCTGATCAGATAAACCCATCCTGTACCAATACAATGGGGTCTATCAAAAACACGCTCTCAGCGCCCTCTATGCATAAAGCAACTGCACAGATTATCAACGCTTATAATTGGTTTACATTTTGTCTGTACCCTATCTATTGACGGGGACGAATGCGTTTGATTTGAATAGCTAATCTTATGTTGGCCAGTTCTGTATGGTAAGGGCCTAGTAAATTAATGTTCAAGTTTTTAGTAGACCAATTGTGTTATGAATCTTTACTTGGTATTATAAATATGAAAGTGTGTTTATTTGTCAATCTCTCATGTTGCTTAAAAGTTTTATATTTTGTGTCTGGACGCATAAGGTTTAAGAGACGAAGTCATTGGCAATAGTTAGTAATAGATATGTGAGTGATACATAAACGTAGGTAATAACAATAATTAAACAAATACAATAAATATTTAGATAACATATTTATTAGCTAAAAATGATAATGTTTACATGTATTCAAGTCTCATTATAATCACACTTGACAGTCTTACAGCGATTTGATATGATGGCCATAGTATTTAATAAATATCTATTAACATATCTACTAATAATAGTAATGGAAGAAACGTTTTTAACCGACTTCATAAAAGAAGTTCTCAGTTTAACCTGTATGTATGTTTGTGCGCGATTAACTCGCGATTGACTGAACCAATCTCGAAGCGTTAGTAACACTTTTTTTTTAAGGGGTCATCGAATGACTGCTCCCGTCCGGGTGAGGCGGGAGGGAGTGTCAGACTCTTACTGACTAAAGACCACTACACTCTTGCACTTGGAGCTGGACCCCGGTAACCTGTTAGGTTCTCCGCGACTCCGAATCGACATCAGCCCTGTTGGGCCCCATCCGTGGTGGTCTGATGGCCCTTTATCACGCGCGGAACGCGACGCGCCGTACACTAAGTGTTAGTAAAGTTTTAGTGTATTAATTAACCCGCTTCCGAAATAGAGGGGGTTGAAGTCGATTTGTTAAACGTAGTTTATTTATTTATTATTATAACATAAATAACGTTGGATACATTTTTTTGGTTATATTTAAGGCATTCAATATCTATAACGAGAGAGCGTAAGTAGTTTCAAAATTGTCTTGTAGTTATCATAATATTATTAAAGTCTAATGCGTATTTAAGTTTAATATTGTAAAAATTGACGTTGTTCTATGCTGGCAGGGTGCTATATTTGTCCCTTTCGCACGATTACTTTATCCAAAAGCTAAACAGAGACGGAAATATATAAATTATTCAATATAAATAAGCTTTCAATTGAATTTTTTTTTTAGCATTATAAGAGTTTAGGAGAAATTTGATTGATAAGTATTTCTAAAGGCGTAAACTACTGTAAATAAGCTAAAATCTACAGTAGCGATCTATAGATACGTGTGTAATTATAGTAGTTAAATGTCACGCTTATTCAATAACTGGTGAGTTTTTTATTTATTGTGTTTTGACGACGGTAGGTAGTAACTATTTTTTTTTTGTTTATAATGAAAAAAGATGATAAATCTTTTTACCAATACAATTGATTTAATCTAAACTAAAATTAACAAAACAATAAGTCTAGGATTAATAATAATTCTATTTCTTTGGAAAATCAAAATTGGCACGATAGAATCGTTTAACATAAGTTCTTGTTTGGTTACCATAGTAACCGATTTTGTTAATAAGTATGTAGTTAGATTTATAACGATTTTATTGAGATCACGTGTTCCAAACATATTGTTAATTGTTATAGAAAGGAGGCAGATGTAATCTCCAGTAAAATTCTCAGTATTACTTTGAAAGAGACGAGGCGCTGTTCAAGACAAAAGAAAGACAAATTGGGTCTTGGGTGATCTTTCCTTCATTACTTCCTTTTATGGAATAGGAGGCAACGAGCAGACGGATCACCTGATGGTAAGCGATCAGCGCTACCCATGGACTCCCGCAACACCACAGGTGCGTTGCCGGCCCTTTAAAAAGGAATACGCTCTTTTCTTGAAGGTTACTTCTTTAGGTTACCATGGCAACAATTATTGTTAGTGAATTAATTTATTTACTAACCATTTTTGAGATCGTGTTTTTTTGGAAAACGTTTATTTAACTAGAACATTTGTTTAGATCGACTTATTCTTTAAAGGCAATTTTTGAAATGTTGTAATTGTTTAAGATGTATATGTTGATTTTTTTTATTTTTTATTGTTTTTAAACAGATACCAGTAAGTAGTGTTGTGTCTAAGACAGTAGGGCTGTTCTTTCGTTCTGAACTCTAGCAACAGGCGTAGCATGACCCTCTCCAGGTTGTTGTTCTGGGCTGAAATTGAGATAAAACAAAGGTTACTAACGTAAATAATATTATGAATATTTGCATTAGCTGACGGATGATCTGAGAGTCAGTAATCAGTGTCGTACATGGCTACCCACAACACCTGAGAAGTTGAAAGTTAACCGCCTTTGGATTGACAACATTTCATGATCTTCGAAGGCATGAGACTAAAATGAGTTTATCAAAGTGGATTGAGCAGTTTAGTAAATCAAAAACACATATAGTAAAAAAAACCTACATATGTGAGTAGTGTTACTCAATAAAGTAGTTGCTAAAAACTCAATAATTTAGTAGGCAAGGAGTATTGTTTTTTTAATGCCTAATTCTTTAATTTATATAGGTAATGTAACATTTGAACGGAAATGATATGTATCACGGATACGATTTTAGCGATACTGCATAGTTATCTCCGAGACATTCATTGTTTCAATCGCTTTATCATTTCACTTTGTGATTCATACACAATATCTGTATTTTAAAAGAAAATATGTAAACAAGGCAGATTTCATATTTTATTGATAACCAAACAATAAAAGCAATATTGTAACAATACTTGTAAATAGTTACGATATTTGCATTCATTTTTTGAGATATTAATAGTTATGCGCATGCGCATCGCTTATGATAAGGGAGCATTGAACTCTAAAATTGCGTTCAAGTTTAAATTTTGATTTAAGAAAGTAATCTAATACATATATTTACTTCAAAATATGCTGTACTATCTTCTATATCTTCTATATAAATAAAAATGAATTTCTGTTCGTTAGTCTCGCTAAAACTCGAGAATGGCTGAACTAATTTGGCTAATTTTGGTCTTGATAGGTTCGTGGAAGTCTAGGGAAGGTTTAAAAGGTGAGAAAAAACTTTTAGGCGGTACGAAGTTTGCCGGGTCAGCTAGTATCAAATAAAATACGACTATAAGGTATTTTATACAATATAAATTCCAAAAGACCATTGTTATACGAGGTACACTCACGAAGAAACATAGTTCATCAAGACGTAGATCAGCATTTCATCGATTAACCAAAATTCAACCTTAACAAGAGCAAATAAAGAGTTTCAAATCGAACTTACCGGCGGAAATAATTGCTGATGGCACCATACATGGTAGGTTCAGCCATGCTGGGTCTGACCAGCCTCGTAGGGGGTGGGAATGGGGGTCTACCACGGTTGTGCCAATGCTGGAAGAAGAAACCTAGACCAGCTAAAACTATCCATATCGACGCCATTGATATGTCTGAAAAGAAAGACGAGGAGAATTAGGTAATGATACAAATTGTTCAGAGGTCATTGAACTAACCTTTAATCTGTCAATTGGTTTTTCATTGGATTTTATACTTTATATTTAATCGTATAAAGTTAAAAATGATCTGCTGACCATTGTAGCTGACAGAAATTATATGACTCCCTTACTGCAGACCTAAGACCTCAAAAGGCTGGCAACACTCTTGTGTTGCGAGTGTCGAAATGGGTGACGTCAATTGCTTACGATCAGGTGATCCGTCTGCTAGTTTGGCCCCATGTAAAGAAAAATAAGTCTTAGAATCCTATCCTGACAGAACAGGATTCCCGTTCCTGCTCCTGAGCTGCGGACGACCAAACGGCTTACCGGAGCTCCAACTTAAAGCAGGAGTAGGAACGGGGTGGTTTTTATTAGTCAGCAAGAGTGACACTTTTTATCACCTCACTCAAGGCGGGAGATGTCATTGGATGAATGTGAATTTGAATGAATCATCAAAAAGACATAACATAACATCACGCCTTTTATCCCCGAAAGGGTAGGCAGAGGTGCACATAATGCCAGTGTACAATGTAACACCCACTCACTATTTATGTTATGAGTCCCATGTAATAGGGGTGAGCCTATTGCCATATACCGGGCACAATTCCAGACTCCGTGCTACTATTGACAATTTTTTTTTAAACCCAGTAATACTTTGCCCGACCCGGAAATCGAACCCGAGACCCCTTGCCGGGCAGTCGCACTTGCGACCACTCGACCAACGAGACAGGCATCATCAAAAAGAAACCTGTTCTATAGTTTGATAGGAATTACCAATTTTGCG